TTGCTTTCAACGCTTGTGTTAGCTGCCACTTGAGCTGTTGAAACTCATTCTTTGCAAAAGACATGGTTACCGATAAACGGAACTTCTCCCATCCTGAACTTTAACTTATCGCTGTTTAAATGAATTCCACGCTCTTCACGTCCTGAAGGAACGCTGAAAGACTCTTATCGTGATCCTTAGTTGCTGCTTGCAATGAATCACCATAGCCAGCAACAACAAAGTCATCTGCTATGACTTCAACTCCATTCAGTCCCTCGATCAATTCGTGCATCTTGCGTTGAAAAATTCCAGGCGCAGACTTAATTCGAAAGGGCATCCTTTTCCAACGGTACCGGCCAAACGGCGTGTTAAAAGGTAGTTAGGAACGATGACTGCTTGTCACGAAAAACGTGCCAGAATCCACAGGCAACATCGGACACAGTAAACACTTTGGCCCCATGGAGCTTAGAAGCAACCTCTTCGATGGTAGGGAAAAGATAATTCTCTCGTTGCAGAGCTCGATTGAGATCCTTAGGGTCCAAGCAAATGCGTAAGGCACCGTTTGGCTTTGGTACAACAACCATTGAACTAATCCAAGATGTGGGCGTTGTCACACGAGCTACAATTTCTCGGCTCTCCAAATCTTCTAAAGTCTCTCGAAGACATTCACGAGTGGCAACCGGTACTCGGCGAGGAGGGTGTTCAATTGGCTTCACCGTTTCATCCAGCTCCATGTGATATTCTCCAGGAAGTTTACCAACTCCATCACCGAAAACACGAGGGAATTTCTTGACCAACTGGTCAGCGGACAAAAGAGACTCGGTTTGCGCATCATGCGCATACACGTCACCATCAGAGGTCTGGGGATGATTCAACTGATTATTGTCCAAGTATTTGATGATTTCCATTCCGAGACAGGCTCTCCTGCCAAGTATAGGCCTGACTTTTTTGCTGTCCACCAGATTACAGTCAAGAAAACATCTGAAATCTCCATACCAAACCCTCAAACGAACTCTACCAAGGATAGGAATCGATGTCCCACCATACGAAATAATTGCCGTGCTTAATGGAGTCACGTTAAGCAAATTAAAGTAACTTGTCGCTTTCTTATACAAATGCAAAGGGACCACGTTACATTGCGCTCCAGTGTCCGGCCGATAGCGAAGATAAGTTCCTGACTCCAATTTTAATGTTACAAGCTGCGAATCATCAAGAGTCACCGCTGAAATCTCCTCCACGCCAAAAACTTCGTCTGGAGATCCATCCTCCAAATAATGAACACGACTGCCTCGCTGCAACGGTTTAGTCACTGATCCAAAACACACGGTCGCGAAATGGTTTTTCTTGTTACACTTTTTACACCTTTTTCCAAAAGCTGGACAGTTTTCACGCTTTGACAGATCATGCATACGCCCGCAATAGACACGTGCTTTCACTCGGGAGTCAACGCCTCCAGGGAATCGATCACACCTCTTTTTCGCTCCTTTAGGCTTTTTATAAAAGGCATTTACATCGCCCGGATCTGTATCCCCAGTGCTGGCACCTCCAACAAGTTTCTTCTCTTGAATCATTGTCTCGTGCGCCCGACAAATTTCATCAGTTTTCTGCAGTGACAAATTCTTTTCTCGAAGCAATCTCTCACGTACCTCTGAATCCTGGATTCCGAAAACAAGCTCCCGTAAAATTTGATCTGCCGTAATGGCTTCAAATTCGCATCGATCAGCTAATTTTCGTAGGACTGTCCGATAATGGTCATACGATTCTCCCGCTTCTTGCATTCTAGAGTAAAACTTATATCTTTCAAAAGGAACATTCTTCAACGGCTGCCAATAAGCAGCAAAACTCTCTAAAACCGGCTGTATTCTGTCACGGTCATCCTCGCCAAACGTAAACGTCGAGAAAACTTTCCTAGCTTCGGCTCCGATCACCGTCAGCAACGTCGCAATTTGTACGGTCTCGGGTTCCTGATGCAATTTCATAGCTACCGAATAATTTCTCCATGCCAGCTCAAATTCTTTCCACTCTTCTGCGCGTTTGAATCATAGATATCAAGGGGTGCTGGCGGTGGCAAAGCAAATAAGGCTCCACTTCTCGCGCTGGAAATATCCGAAGACGAACTCGAAGACTGCTCGGCTTCTCCGCCTCCCGGCATTTCAGCAAAAGCAATTTACGTAGGTTCGGTAGCCTGACACCATGTAACGAACGGTAGGGCAAACGGACAACTCACATTATACCAAGCAGAAACCAAAGAACTCTTTTTAATGCAATAGATCATCAACCTTTATACACACGGTCATAATTATTCTAACACAGAGATGAGACGTACCACGAATAGTCAAAGTCTAATGATGGTATTTGATAATACGCACGAGCATTC